GTCCATCAGTGTATGTGTAATTCTTAGGTGCAAGAACTGATGGGTTAGTTTCTCCTTTCGGTCCATAGGTAACTGTGTTTGGCTCTCTCCAGCTTCTCTACAAATGCATTTTTTTTGCATGGTCTTTAAGTTCACTTGGAGTAAGAAAAGCGGGAGTGTAAAGGGATGTGCCTGAACATTCCTCCTCTAGTATTCTACACTGGCTGTATCTCTGCAGGCATCAAACTGAGAGGGAAAATAATTCATATCAGGGGAAATGGGAGTAGGGTTAGGGGAGCAGAAAAGCGAAGAGTGGACTGCTTCAGTAAAACTGCTAACCTTGAATTATGCAATCGGAAAAACAGCTCTGCCAAAATACAATTCTGACGGAGTTCAGAGTACTGTCAGTGTTTGCCAAATACCCCAGCCAAAAGGATGTCTTGAAGAGGGGGAGGAGGGATCCATTGCCATATGCCCAGCATTCACAGTATTCTGGAAGAACTGTGGAGTCCTCCAGGAGTGGAGGCGTGTGCATGCTCTCAGGTGCACCCTGAGCATTGATACCATGATCCAACACAATACAGGAACAGCGAGGTCAGAGGGGAGTAGGTAAATATATCAGAATGTCTTTGTTTCTCAAACCTTCCAAGGTTTTGCTTCACATTTGTACAGTAGTGGGAGGAGTTCTGGCAAACATTATCAGGCTGTTCTACATATGTTTTGACTCTTCTTGTTTTATGTTTCTTCTATGAAAGAGACTGCAACCAAGTTCTTGTCATTTTTAGATCAATGTTTTGTTAAACTATGACAGCTATCCATGACAGAGAGCCAAGTAACTTTTGCAGCTGACCACAAAACTGAGTCTGATTTGCGGTGCTTAGTCATTTTTTATATATATATATTTATTTCTTTTCTACATGACACACTCTATGTGTGTATGTGTTTTTCATTGTTCTTTTAAATATAATTAGAACATTGCTAGGAGCTGTGGTACAAATCAGTCTTCTTCAGCAGATTACTTTCTTTGATTAATGAAGTTTTAGAAACTTCACATTGTGGCTATTGATGAAACCTCTCTGGTTATACTTTGAACAATTGGGCTGTTGTGGGATTGATTGCTCTCTACAGTATTATCTTCTCTGGTTTGCCCATTACAATTTTAAATGATCCAGACAATAGGCTCTCCTACAATCCAACAGAAATGACCATTAGGATAGTTTTTCCCAATCTCTGCCGAGGTTCTTCACAGAGGAGAACAATGTATACAAGATGTCTTTCAGCCTTCTGGGGCCTGATTCAAAATTCAGAAGTTTAGAAGAAAAAGAATCACTTTATCTTTAGCAAGAGATCCCTACGTTTCTTCTCCTGCAAGAGCAGAAGTATTCCTTACCATTTGTTTTCACTGCTTTGTGCTGTCTGATTTTTAGCCTGTCTCACAAGCAGTTCTTTGCACCACTTTCTCAGGTTTGGACCAATCTTGCCTGTTCTTCCTGGCAGCATTGGCTCTAGACTGCAGTTGATGCCACTCATGCATTGCTCATAGGATGAACAGCAGTTTATACCTCTGAGGTGTGGAGCAGATCTGAAACGAAGGAATTATCACTCTGGTTGTTTTCTTGTAGCTTTAAAAACCTGAAAGCATGTATGATTTCTTCAGCTGAACTCTCTTCCCTATTTCTTTCCCAGCCCAGCAAGACAATTGGATGTAGAGCTTGATAAAATAATAAACTAAGTTTAAGGCATAGTCTAACATAGTGTGCAGGAATGTGCCACTGCCTCCTGAATTCTAGAGCTGTATCACAACTGCTTTAATAAAGTGTGCTGCTAATGCGTGTACTCTACCTGTTGTCTCTGGATGGTGCCACAGCTTGCTACAGTTTACACAGCTAATCCAACACAGTGAAGTGGTGACAGTTTTAAGAATGTGTAATTTGCTATTGAATAATGATGATAAATAGATCCTATTTTTGTATAAACTTGAAACCTTTGTGGACCTCTTGTTCAAAGCTTTTAAATCATTTCTGTGAGAGGAGGCTGGGCTAGCAACGTCAGCAGGTTGCCACCTTATTTGGGGTCAGGGAAGAAAAGGTGTTTTTCCTTTGTTTGTTTGGAGCACCTATAAATACTTTCTCCATAAACTAGAAGATTCTGTAGGAAAGGTAGAGATACTTCCATCAAACGAAAAGCAGTAAGTCATCAACTGAATGCTTTCAAACAAAACAACGTGGGAATGCTGCTTAACTCCTTTCAAATATTTTGTATTTGTAAAAGTGTTTCTGTACGTCAGGATTGGGGAAAATCAGCCGCCCCATGTTTGATAGGAAGAGGGTAGGACAGGAGCGTAGTTGATGCATAGTCAGGCTTTCGAATCCTGCCAGGGTGTCACTGATCTCTTTCTGCTCTCCTAGTGCTGTTGCAGAGGCCTAGGAAAGAGCACACCTTAGACTTATTCTTCCCTGGGTACTTTTTAACCTTAAACATTTTAAACATTAACGCAGAAAAGTACAGCTGGCTATTTTGTCATCCTCTTTTCCAAGAGCAATGCTGTGCAGTTGTTCTTTTTAACTGCCACCTTATTGTTCCTGATTGAATTGCACTGTCATTCTCTATGTTTAAGTAGCAGGGAGTAAATAGTCACCACGTTGAAAGGGTGGTCTCCCCGCTCACCCATGTTTCAGCTGTCCGGAGAGCCACCTCCAAGCACTGGGGCTCAGCAGCGCAGCCCGAGAGCTCGGCCCTCGCCTGGCATTCCTTCACAGCCCCTCTTGGATCATGCCTGCGCTCTCTCACTTCATCTAATGTGGCTGTACCTCAAAATGCAAAACTCTGCCCAAGATGGATAGCGGCACAGCATCTGTAGGCTTGTTAAGTCAAGCTTGGATAAACGAGCCATACCCAGTGTGTACCTTGCAGACAGCATGCCGGAGTATTCGCTGACCTTAAGACTCAATCAGATCATGTCGGCAGAGTGTGGTTCTGAATGTAACTGCCTCTGACTTCAACAGCTGCGTTTACTGCATAAAGAAAAAGCTGTTAAGCCTGTGCCCTTTGCACGCTCAGCTCTGTTTCTCTAAGAGGTTTATACATGATTCAAGAAAAGTCTGCAGCAGAATACCTCCCCTCCCCCATGATATACCCAACAAGAGGAGATGTTCTTTTATATTTTAGGCTGGTGGCAGCATTTTTAAATTATTTCTGACATAAAAATTTTTGATCTCTCTCATTATGAAGTTTACAGTAAATAGATTTTTTTTTTTTTTTTTTCTGAAGAAAAACTGTTGACTTCTATTATATATCTGAGATCCCTTTGGAGGATATACAAAGACAACTTATTCCTGACTTTCTGTCTGCTGTCACGCTGCTTTGGAAATGAGAGCTGAGTTAAAACCAATAGATCAAACAGTTTGGTAAAGCTAAATGCCTGGATAGTTCAGGTGCTTATTGGAAGCTTTTCCAAGTTTTCTGGATCTGCAGTACCTAGTAGTGTTAGAGTAACCTTTTTGCTTGTGATAGGCTGATGCTGCTGCATGAGCTTTTCCTGCAAAAACCAAGGGGATAACTCATCTTGCATGCTTTCGGTGGTGATGTGTCTGGTTATAGACAGAGCACCAGGAGTGCGGAAGGGACCCATGATGAAAATGAATCTCAGGAGTAGGAAAGTTAACCTCATGTTCCCTAACTGTGTGGGCGTACGAAGTTCAGCAAATTAGCCTTGTTTCTAACTCTCTCAAGAAAATCTTTGTGAAATGACTTACATGAATTTGAACTGTTCTTTGAATTGCAGATGCAGGGACATCACATTGCAGGAAGCATTTCTGTATTTGCATTGTTCTTTTTTCTGTTTTCTTCTATAATACAACCCAGTGACATTATTAGGCTACATAGAATAGTTGTAAAGTCTCTGGTTGCCATGTGAAATCTGAAAGTTTGTTTTAGTTTTGTTGATCTTCTGCAGTCATCAGGAGTGGAATAGAGCAACAAAACAGCAATCTTTCTTTCAGGAAGAAGCTCAAAAGAATTTTGTCGGCTGGAGCCACTTTACTATCGTGCCATATCATGTCATTTTCTTAGCTTCGCAAAAGGCACAGTGCCTAACATTTTGAAATGTTAGTATTGCTTTCCTGAAAGATTTATTTTTAAACATATGATTGTCAGGAAGATAGAGTGTTTATGAGTAAAAGTCATTGGGAAAACAAAAACAGTGGGAAAATGGAACACCTTTGTGTTTGTAAAGTCAAACAATTCAGGGGGAAGTGAGGTGTTTTGAAGAGAACATTGGAATTAATGTCCCTGGCATGTTGTTTTGGCAGTGTCTTTAGACACCGCTGCAGCCTGACAGATTAATTGGCAGCACGCACTAGCCTGTTGCAATCCAGGGTTCACAGATAGTTCTGACTAGATGAATGACGGACGGGGTGTTAGTAGGGTTGGGCAAAACAGCCCAGACAAGAACACAAACTGCTGCCCAAGTATCATGCTTAATTCAGGCTGACCCTTTCCCAAGGCCTGAATAAGTTTGAACTACAGTGGTGGGGTTTTTTCCCCTATGGGCTGCTTCCTAAAATATTGCCTTTTAAAAAAGAAAAAGGGCAAAGTCAGTCATGTTTCTGCACTTTGATTGCAGGCTGGAAATAGAGTAAAACAATAAATACATTGCAAAAGAGCGTGTGTCATCTAAACTTCCAGTTCAGCTTTGCAGTCCCAGGGACATAAAGAGTTGAAGTATTCTTCAGATGTGCAGCCAATTTTATCATGCCTAACTAAACCAATCTTTTCAACACTATAAAGTTTGCTCATCACTAGCTAATAAGCATGTTTTAAAAAGGACTTGTTAGAGTCTGCAACTGTATCCCTTTCAGAAAAAAAATACTATTACTTATTCTTAAATACCTGGCTCAGTAAACTGTTGTGAATGAATTGTTATCCAGCTTCCCTATCAACCTTCAAAATTGCCTATGAACTTTGCAGTTACAATGTTTAATTATTTTCCTGATCCAAATACCATCATCTTGCCCACATAGGACAAAACAACACTGGAGACCCTGACTCAGCAACTGGCAGTGAAACAGAGTGAAGACGGGAAGTTTAGCCACGCAATGATGGATTTCAACATGAGTGGAGATTCTGATGGTCAGTACCATGGCTTATCCTTATTTCCAGGTTTGTGTGTGTACATGTCAACGGGATCTGGAGGAGAATCCAAGTGCTTTGGAGGCCTGTGAGGAGTAAGAGCGCTTAGCAATAAGTGGCTATGAAACAAGGCAGGAAAAAATGATTCATCATGTGGTGTTTTAAGTCTGGAGGTGATTTTTAGCCTTCTCTTCTGTACACTGCAGTTCTCAAGACTGGACCAAGAATGTATTTCTGATGGCAAAAGAGAATAAGGAAGGCAAATGATGTGGGCTAAAGGGAATAAAAGAGGCAAATAGATGTGGGCTAAATGAGATCACACAGTGAGTTCATGAATTATAGACCTGATCATCTGTAGGTGTTACATGCTCTGCATCTGTAGGAACTTTCTTGGTTTGATGAAGCAAGCATAATGTTCTTTTCTGTCTCTGCTATTGCTTGTTCTGTCATGGAGAGGGAAGCACAGAAATAGGCAGATGTGTAAATGTTCATTTGCTAGTTAGAGAATTACTTAAGAAGAAATGCCTGATGTTGCCATATATTACCCCCTTACCATCACAAAAAAGGTAGAAGATAGGTAACATAATATGACGAGCATTCTGTAAGCAAGAAAAGAAGTAAAAAGAAAATCAACATTGGTAAGTGTTGGGTTTTTGTTATTAAGTAGCAAAAGGTGGTTTAGAAAAGCTGTTTACTGCTTTGTGCTGAAAAAAACAATTGAAACTCTTCATCAAGTCTATACTACGTGATACTGAATCAATAGGATTAACTAAAAACTAGACAATATATAATATACGGTATTTCCTGCTGCTTCAAGTAAAAAGAAGAGGCACCATTAACCTATTGTGAACGCTGACTCATTGAATGTGCAGCATCTGACATAGGTTACTGATGGCAGAGGAAGCTGCATAATGAAACACAAGCTGGGAATGTTTTTCTCTTTCTTTTTAGGAAGTGCAGGAGTTTCAGAGTCTAGAATTTATCGGGAATCCAGAGGGCGTGGTAGCAATGAGCCCCATATCAAGCGCCCAATGAATGCATTCATGGTGTGGGCTAAAGATGAACGGAGGAAGATCCTTCAAGCCTTCCCTGACATGCACAACTCCAATATCAGCAAGATACTAGGTAAGAATGATAGACCACTCTTCTTTCAGTAGCAAGATTCAAAGAACTTTTGACTGAATAGAGCAGACACTGTTAGCAGAATTACTGTCTCTAGAATGTCTATTTTGCTACTCAAATGACTGCACCAAGGACAACAGTGATACAAGCTTCCACCGTGCTGCGCAGCGGTGCACATTAACCATAACCTGAAATGTTCTTGTGTCTTTGTAATTACTGAGATTGCAGTGGTGGTATTGGTGTGAAAAAATGAACTGAATAGACAAAACCAGTTCATTTCATTAGGCTGTTGAGCAAGCACAAAATGACTGCTATCATTTATTTGCCCACATAATTCATCTAACTAGATTCTGTGGGGTAGCACACCACAGTATTTGATTTGTGCCATAGCACTTTCTGTTCAAATCAGTGGACATAGGGAAAAGATCCTAAAATACATCCTTTTATTTTATGCACTGACAGGATTTTTATTATGTTTCTGTTATATTAAATTTCCCTTTAGTACATGATCTCTATCACAAGCTGCTTTAATTCTAAATATTCTGAAAAGAATCCTGAAATCAAAAAAAAGAAACATCAGAACTAATTTCCATATCCATTGCTCTTCACATCCCAAGCAATATTTGTCATGAACGTCATCTACTGAATTTCATGCCATAGTCTTCCAACTTTTCGCTACTTGCTCAAATTCCCAGGAGCACCTTCTGTCCTAAGTTACTCCTCTGTGACATGCTGAATGATACAGAAGGTGAATAATGAGGATCTCTGAGGCCAGTAAAAAAATCTGTGGCCAAATTGGAGATGTTGCCTTTTTACTGGTAAAGGCTGTGTAACAGGACCTAAGCATCCGTCAGGCCAGTGAGTAAAAGCTTAAGCAGGGAACGTGTTTGCCTGGGCTGCAGGTCTCATTGGTTTTGCAGACAACTCAAGAGTTGTAGCGCAATTGTAATGGCAGCATTAACCAGCTGCAGGGCTGGTAAATCTGCTGGGTTTAGACTGGTCAGAGGTTTGAAGTTTAGCTTAATTAGAGTGGTATTATGAAAAGTTAGCAGGGGGCAAGTGCGAAGGAGATAAATTGCTCACAGAGGCAGAATGTATTGGCTGTGAATGGCAGATGTGACGATATTAACCCATGATTAAAAGGGTGGTACGAGATGATTAGATTAGTTATGGGAACAGGATTAGAAGGCTAAATTGGTTATGTTGATGGTAAAATAACCTTATACTGGTTAAAAGGGATTATACTGGTCAGAGGTGTATGATGTGATTAAACTGAGGACAGGGCAGTAATAGTTTTGGTCTGTTTCTAAATTGAGAGTAGACCTGGTTAAACCTGTTTTTAAATAATCAGCTTCAGAAATCTACAAGATCATTCTGAATGGCCCTTTTCATATAGAAAGTACAAAGAGAGCTTGATGTTTTCCCTCTTAACTGATTGTTTTGGATAACAACCTCCGACAGCACGCTGCTAATTCATTCTGCTTAAAACAGGCGCTTGAGCTGGGCTGACATTTTACGCAGTCTCTGGGGATCCTGGTTGACATTTTAAAGGGCTTCTAAGCATTTTATAATACCCTAAAATCTGGTTTTAATAAGCCATTCTGCTGAAATTGTTAACATAAGGAATCACCTTTTACTATTTGGCGCTAGATCAGGGAGATATGGGGACATCTTTTTCTGATTAGATATACAGTAGTTGGAGTAAAATGTGCAAATTCATTACAGATCCTGTTGAGGTGACAGACAGTATAGCTGACTCCAAACTCTTTCTGTTTTGCTGCCAGATATGGGGAAAAGCAAGGTCTGAGGCAGTAAGAGATGATGTTTCTATTTCTTTCCAGCATCACATTTAATTTTTTTTTTATTCCACCTATGCAATGGAGAGGGATGTCCTGACGTCTTCTTTCTTGACAGAAACGTTGCAAAGGTCTTCACTCAATTGGAAAAGGCCAGTCTTTTGAAGTCAGCAGGGAGCCCTCTGTTAACTGGCATAGGGTGAGCAACTAGAAGCTTACAGTTCAGCCAGGGTTTAGGGTCTCTTTATTAGAAAGCCACAATTTTTCCTTACCCTTTTTTTTAGCAGCACTGCTACACATTGAGGTCAGAGAGCTTGTTGTCACCGGGAGTAGCTTAGATGGAGCTAACCAATCGAGGGTCATTTTTATAGTAAAATGAGGGGAGTTGCCCTTCCCAGCACTAGAATTCTCTAGGGATTATGTTTGACACTGTGGTATTATGTTTTGAGCATAAAAATTAGATACATGGATTTGTCACTAAATTCATCTGTGCATACGTTTGTCATCCATCTGTTCATTGCAACTTAAACTTGTGGATAATGATTCTTTTTTAGTAAATGTTAAAAAAGTGCTAAAATGGGTCTGCTGGACCCTATCAATTTAATAATGCATTGTTTAGATATTTTTGTAAATATTTTAATTAATTTCACTGAGAAATCCATATAAAGAGATTAGGAAAAGATGAAGTTAGATACTACCTTCAGAAATTCTCTTGTGGATGTGCGTGTGAATAGAAACCTATACACATACCTATATGTTATACAGGTTTGTGTATGTGAGGGTATTTTTTAAATGTAAAATCAGCCAGATTCAGGCGCTCAGATTGAAAAATGTCAGTCTAATGGACAAAAAATTAGGCAATATTACAAACAGCTGAAAATTCTTGTCAGAGAAGCTTGGCTTCTAAACCCTCCTAGTGCATGCATGTGTGTGCCTGAGCACAAGTGCCAGGGCACACATGGGGGCATCACTTTTCTGCCCTAGACTCAGATAGCTGGCCTCTACAGCCGTGTTCACAGTCATTGTGTGTGTACAGTTCTAACTGCCCTAGCTCACTTTGGGGGCAGGAGCCATAGCTGGTGCTGCAAAGTCTTACAGTTTTGTCATTTATTTTCTAAATACTTCAGCCACCAGATCAGGGAGAATTGTGCGAGAATCCTGCTTGTCGTTATGTATGCGTCCAGGGAGGAGAATGGGTTCTTGTTTTCATAGTGAAGGAGAAAAGCCTTGCATACTTGACCCACTCAAAGCTTACTAACACAGATGGTGAGCAGGAAGCTCACCCAAGAGTGTAAATCTTCCCTTAAAAAGGAAAAAGAAAAATCTATTTTTCAAGATTCTTCAGTCACACCTTGTTTGGGCTTGGGCTAGCCATGGTGTGTAGGTACCTGTGCCTGCCTGTATGTGTATATGGACACATAAAACAATGGCAGATAAAGTTATTACAAATATGTTATGTCCAAACACAAGATATTTTTAACCAGTTTTAGTATATTGATTGATGGTATTCATTCATAGCTTAGCTTGCCTGTGGGTGCACATTCAAAGATCAGTTATGTATTCTTCAGACTTTCAAAATTTCAGATTAAGAGCGATCAGAGAGCTGGTTGGATTTTGTATATTACTAAGAAAATAAGTGAAAATGATAAAATGTAAAAACTAAGGCTTTATCATCAGAAAATGAGCCCTCTTTCAGAATTTATTTTGACAGCATTGTTTGTTTAATTATTTATGATACTTCAAAACATACTACTAAATTATATTTAGTATATTTTGTAAAAATGGTAAAGTCATAGTAAGAGAAGGTATCACTGCAGAACGCAGCTATTAAAAATTTGCTAGGAAGAGAGGTGAGACTGCCAGGATTTTTGTTGTATTGAGTTTGCATCTTAGGAAAGAAAAACATAATGAATGACATTTATGTATAAATATTGTATACATAACTGTATGTACAAATATTATGCATCAAAATTTCAGTTTTTATGACCCTGATCCTGCAAAGACTTGTGTGTTTGCCTAATTTCATCCACTGTTTATGGATCTTTTCACATGAGGAGGTGGGAATCTGCCTGCCCAGATCCAACTGTAGGATTGCATCAAGTGAGCTAGGACAGCAAAAGGAATTGTGCTGGGACAGAACATTTACATGGCAATTTTGCAACAACTAATTTTAATTTCTACCTTTCTGTCTGTCCTTCTATAAAGCAAATGTCAAGATTTGATTAAAGACTGAAGTTTTCAAATTCGTTATTCATAATTTGTGATTCATCAG